CCGCCGGCCAAGCGCGGGGTGCGGGTGGCCCGGGTGCGGGCCGCGCAGCTATCAGATCACAGCACTGCCCTGGGCCATCAAAGAGCGGCTCCGACCTTCTCCAGCCTCCGTGGGGCTGTGAACTCGCGTCTGTAGAAACCTCCCTTTGGGGTGGGGGTGGGGGGCAGGCGATTCCTGAAGAGCCAGCAGCCACCCCACTCCCCCGAGCCCATTCCTTTCTTGGTGAAACTTGGGGTGCGCCTTGGGGTTCCAGGGATCTTACTTCCTTCTTGGAAAAGCCAAGGCTAAGGGAAAGGGGTAAGAAAGGAGCCACTTTAAAAGAGCCACTGGGTAATAACACCACCTGGACGGAGTCTTTGGAACCTTCGAGCTTTGTGGGCAGGATAGCAAAGTAAATCGTTCTCCATTACCGAAGTTAGCGACCCAGAACGAAAGCTAGAGGCACGAGAGGAGAGGTGACTCGTGGGGTTCACCAGCAGGCGGTGGGACCCTGCGGAAGACCACCCAAATGGCCACCAGAATTGAGATGTCCACTGACTTGGCTTCTCCAACACCGGAGGCAGATACAAAAATAAACGCCAACAGTGTAATATTCCTCTAGTTGTTTTACTCATCACCTAACTTCAACTATGATCAACTCAATATTTTTTCATCTACTGTCACCTTCTTGCCCCTGGGTATTTTGAAGCAAGCTCCAGGTAGTAAATTTTAGTCTGTTATAGTTGGTATAGTATAGTTATAAATAGTATAGTGTTGTATAGTATAGTTAGTGTAGTAGTGTATAATAAGTATGTTATAGCTAGTATTGTCTTTTGGTAGCCATCAAGAATTGGTTCCAGGACCACAAGTACCAACATGTAAGAACGCTGATTTAAGGTCAAGTCCTTATATAAAATGGCTTAGTATCTGCTTATAGCCTATTAATCCTTAATAGTTCAGATCACTTGCAGATTGCTAATTTAGGTGCTACAGAAATAAGCATTAATACATGATCGTTTAAGAAATAATAATGAGAAAAAAATCTGTATATGTCCAATACAGCCACAACATTCACTTCCTGATACTTTTGCTTCATAGTTGGCTAAATCCACAGATACAGAACCTGTGGATAAGGCCATCATGTATGGAATGTATCTCTAAGAGCTCTTTAAAAAAAGGTAACCACATTGTTATCCATCTAAACATAATTCCTTTGATATTAAATATCGAGCCATCGTCAATATCTCTAATTTTCTCATAAATATAATAATTTACATCTTTTTAAAAGTAATGGTTTTCCAGAAGGATTTCAATTCACCATGTCAAGTTATGCACACAATGCATCCTGATTAGTGTCACTCCTTCCTTCCTTTTCCTCTCCCCCACCTCTCTCCTTACCCCCATCCCTCATCCCTACTCTATTTTCACATAGCATATTGAGTATTTATATGTCATAACTTTTCAAAACATGTTAAGAAATCAGAAGTCAAATAATATGCCTCTACTGTTGATTCTTTTCTGTAGGTTACTAAATTTAAAAATATTAAGTAGCAAGGTCCAAAATATATGTTCATCATGTTAAGGTTTTTGTAAAATCTTAGCTCCATGTCAGTCTTGCCAAAATATACAGTATGTGTATTTTTCTTTAAAGAAAAGAAGGTTCTGGTGCCAGAGTTAAAAGTCTGAAAATTAATCTCTCAGAGACTCCAACATTCACCACTCTCTGGCTGGGTCAGAAAATGAACTCTTGTGTAGGGATATTTTTTCAGAGGATTAAGAAGAGGGGAGGAGACACTTAATCCTGTGTTTCCTAGTACAGGGCATTTGAAAGAAGAGATATGACTCCTGGCAAAAGTGTGGTGAGTACTTTGGAATTAGTATTTTTCATGAAATTATTATTTTTCCACCTAGCTCTAAAGAAGTCAATGGAGTTCAGTTCATAACTTTGAGACCAACTTTGTCACCAACTAGTGACAAGCACCAAAATTGGACCAGAAACCTAGTGTTTTTGCTTCTTGACAGTTGTTCAAGAAAGAAGGCCTTGGGTATTCTGAAGACTCTCCTGCCCATCCTGGACTGGCTCCCCAAGTACCGAGTGAAGGAATGGCTGCTTAGTGACATCATTTCAGGAGTCAGCACTGGGCTAGTGGGGACACTGCAAGGTAAGATTTGGGTGGGTTGGGTTTCAAATAATTGAGAGTTATTGTCTCCAGTGGCAGTTCACTGCTGTGAGGCTATAACTATTGCTTCCTTATTCTTCAAGACTTTTCTTCTTTCCTCTGGGATCCCTTAGATAGAGTCACCTCTGTTCTCTTCCATTGAGATCTTTCCCCTGGAAACATTGCTGCTTCTCTAGCTGTGTGGCTCCAACTTAGAGGTATATACTCAGTAGTAGCTTCTCAAATATAGGGACCACAATTCCCAATAAGAAATATAAATTTCTGGGACAAGCAGAAAATGTCAAAAGCCATGTACATATGATCAGATAAGATGATGTTAAACAAAATGACCCTAAGATAGGGACACAAGTGGTTTTTTTCTTGCTTGCTATTGTTTCTAACGTATTTATAATGTACCATGTGATTTTTTTTTGTTTCTTTGTATGTTCTTCCCCCACGGTATAACCCCTGTTTTCACTGTATTTGATGTCCGTGCCCTGAATCTTGTATACACACTTCCCCAGCTTGGGGAGGGGAAGGGAAAAAACAAAATGCTTAAATAGGGATACAGGTTGACCCATTGGAACAATGAGGTATACAAGACACTATGTTGAAAAAAGAACTTTACAATTTAGGCAGGGAGGGGGGGAGGGAAAGGGGGAGGGAGGGAGGGGCGGAGTATAGTTGTAGAGGTGGAGGGAAGGGAGGGAAGGGGAAAAACAAAGGAGGAGGTAACAATGCTTGATAGGAAATGTACTCATTACCTTGCTAATGTAACTGTAACCCCTCTGTACAGTATTTTTACAATAAGAAACATATTTTTTTTAGAAAAAGCCAGAGGTGGAGCTGTGGCTCAAGTGATAGCACCACCAGCCTTGCAAGAGTAAAAACTCAGAGATAGTGTCCAAGCTCTGAGTTCAAGCCCCAGGACCAGCACAAAAGTGGGAAGGAGGGAGGGAAAGAAAAAGGGAGGGAGATGTTACTGTTTTCCAAGAAGTCTTATAAAATAAAATTTCCGGTTCCCTAAAAAAAGAAATATGAATTATAGCTATACAGACAGAGCTAATGTTTCTGTGAAAGAATACCCTCACCACAAGTTGTGCATTCTGATATTTTCTATTCTGTTCTATTGTATTTTGTTTATTTATTTATTTATTTGGCAGTACTGAGGTTCAAACTCAGGGCTTTGCGCTTGCTAGGCAAACAGTGCTACAGCTCAAATCACATCTCTGCCTCTACTGTGCTTACTTTTAGAATTATTTAAGGTCATTGAATTATTTTACATTCCACACATGGATCTTGACCTGCAGTGTAAAACTAGTGTAAAAACAATGAAGAAAGTACCTTCGCTCAGACTATACATGATCTTTTTTGTTTCTTTCCTCCCCCCATACAATACTTTATTCATCTTTTTATTTTAAGCTTCTGGGTATATGTCTTGACGTAGGTGCTTTAGAAATTGAACTTATTCCATAATATTTCCATGAGCATCTTAGAAATCATTTATGTGGATGGTGGGTAGCAGTTTGGGCCTTCTGCTCCTCTCCCCCTTCCTCACCTCCTTGTTTCTGTGCCTTTACTGCCCTTTCCAAAGCTGCAAAATTGTGAAAACAAGACTCTTGTTTATTTGCTATAATTCTAAGAAGTACCTAATGTGGTAGGCACTGGGTATGCTGACAAGAATAAGATGCACCATCTGCTTTCCAAGAGCTCATGAGATACGGAAATGCAGTGTGCTTAGAGTTATGGTAGGGTAGCATTCCCTGTGACGTGAGTGCTAATGCAGTAGATGTGTGCTACCCAGTCTTAGGGGTTGGGGATAAGTTCCTGCAAGTTGAGTTGTCAAAGTGGAGTTTCCTTAAAGGTTAAGTCTGGGTTTTCCAGGTAATAAGCAGTGATGTAGAGTGTGGCTGGATGTAGAAAGGTGGTCTGTCCATAGACTATTTCAGAATGATATTGTGGGTTAAGATCTGATTAATCAGATCAGGGCATATAGATTCCCACAGAGAAGGAAGATGCTCTTGGGCCCTAATGTGAAGCCTCAACTGGTTTCAGTACTTCTGAATGCTTGAAGGTGTGGGAGAAAGAGCAGGATGGGGTCAGCTTCCCCACAGCTCCAAGAGCAAGGCTATGGCAGCAGCCTGGGTCCTTGTGGAATAAAAGCCATATCTGACTCATACTCATATAGCAAGCACCAACCACAGATATTACCACTCAGTTCATAACTCCATGAATACTTACTTAAAAGAGGACTGAACTGTACTACTGATAATGAATCATCCTTATATATGAAAAATGGTACTTCAAGCTCCAAGTCTCCCCACTTTTCAAGACAATTATATGTAAAGGTTAATTTTGTTTAGTATGTATCAGCCATTAGGCTTTGGTCAGATATCTCATTTAATCCAAACATCAACCACGCAAGTTAGATGCTACCAACCAATATCTCCTATATAATAGAGGAGAAAGTTAATAAACCTTATCCAAGGTCATAGAGCTAGTGATAAAGCTAGAATTTGAACCTAGTGTCTAAATCCTACAACTTGTATACTATGCCTAGTTCTTTACAGGTAGTTATGTTTTTCTAGGAACATTCACTCCATAAAGTTCTCATTGTAAGGTGAATTTCCAGAAGGTTAATCTGACTCATACTTACATTTTTTAAAATCATTTGTTTTATTATGTGTTTATGTACTAAATCTATAAGACACTGTTTAGCCAGGACAGTTAATAATTTACTCACAGGCCAGGCAATGACCTCGTGGAACCCCGTTTCCAGTGGCAGAGATGGGAATTTGTTAAACTACTTATTTAATTATATACTTATTCAAATAGAAAAAGAATTCCCGATTGCAGTATTCTCTGTGGTGGTGACCTATGCTGTCATAGGCCTTAACTTGGGAAGGGAGGTCTATTTTAGATACAATGGTTGGGAATGCTTTAGTGAGGAGGTGAGATTTAGACAGAGCCCAGAGGATGGGAGAGTGAGATAATCATGCGATGAGCAGAAAGAAGAGCACAGGGAAAGGTGTAAAGACCCTGAAGATGAGCACTGCTGAGTACTCTGCAGGGAGGGGCAGAAAGAATTTGGTGTAGATGAAGTGCAGGTGGGGAGGTGGCTAACAATGAAATAGTAGATAAAGTTAGGCAAGACCAGGTTGAGGGTAAGACAGAGAAAGTACTCACTGGAGGGGAGCAGGGGACTCTTTAAACATTGTACTCTTGGCATCTCACCTAGCTTACCCTAAACTCAGCCCTGAGGACAAATGTCTCAGCTTGAGGCAGACAGACAGGACATCAAGAGAGCTCCAAAGCTGGGCACCATTGGCTCAAACCTGTAATTCTAGCTACTCATGGAGCTGAGACCTGAGGATCATGGTTCAAAGCTAGCCCAGGCAGGAAAGTCCATGAGACTTTATCTCCAGTAAATTACTCAGAAATAGCAGGAAATGGCACTGTGGCTCAAGTGGTAGAGCACTAGCACAAATAGGCCCAGGAACAGAGCCCAGGCCCTGAGTTCAAGCCCCAGGAACTGCAGAGAGAGAAAAAAAGATCTCCAAGGTCTGAAATATATTTTGCAGCAAGAATCCCCTATATGCACTGACGGGTACAAATGAATTCTGCAGATTAAGGTGTCGGCGTCTATAGCTGGGGAAATGACCATGTCATGGATTAAAATGGCAGAGACGGCTACAGAGCAGGTTTGGGATGGAAAATTCAAGATTTCCTTTTAGGCATGTTATATTTGAAATACATGCAACACATCTAATTGGCTGTGCCAAACTAAAGTTAGAGCTACTACAATTGTGAAGGTCAGAAAGACAGTCTGGCCACACTTAAAAATCAGGAAAACGCCACTTTAGAGGTGATCATTTAAGAGTGGAAGCCAGGCCCACATCTATAATCCTAGTGAATAGGGAGGCTGAGGCAAGTAGAACTGTGAGTTCTGGGCCAGCCTAAGCTGCACAGAAACAACATGTCTGAAGAATTTAAGGGCTACTGGAGCACAGGTAGCTCATTCCTGTTACCTTAGCTACTCAGGAGATTGAGATCTGATGATTGCAATTTGAAGCTAATCCAGGCAGGAAAATTCATAAGACTCATCTCCAATTAACTAGCAAAAGCCAAAGGTGAAGCTGTGGCTCAAGTGGTAGAGCACCACCCATGAGTGAAAAAATTAATAGATAGTACCCAGGCCCTGGAGTTTAAATCCCACACTGGTGCAATAAGGAAAAAACACCCGGATTCAGTGGTGAAAGGCCCACCTAGCAAGCACAAGGACTTGGATTTGATCTCCAGTGAATAAATACATAGAAGTAAGAGAGTAAAAATGCCTGTGATCAGCTAGGAAGAAAGGGCAGATGAGGGAAAGAAGAGAAAGTCTTGGCATACTCAGAAATCAAGAAGATGAGAACGGGCAACAAAGAGCCTCAGAAATTTGGATTCAGGAAATTGGAGAAAAAAAATATGAGAAAAGTATGATCAAAGGAATGAGGGACTGGAAGCCAAGAGAAGGGAAAAAGAAAGAAAATTGCAAAGAAGGAAGGAAGGAAAGAAAGAAGGGAGGGGGAGGGAGGAAAGGAGGGAGGGAGGGAGAGAGGGAGAGAAGGAAGGAGGGAGAGAGGGAGGGGAGAGGAGGGAGAGAGAGGGAGGGGAGAGGGAGGGAGGAGAAAGGGAGGAGAGAGGGAGGAGAGAGGAAAGAAAGGAGAGAGAACAAAAAAGAGAGAGAAAGAGGAGCCAATAGGTAGGGAATGGTGAAGACTGCTTTTAAGAAGTTTTGCCCTGAGTTGAGGAGAGGTAAAGGATAAAGGTAGAGTGAAGAAGAACTAGGCTGTCTTTTTTTTCCATTTCCTGGAATTCATTTTGATGTATTTTTTCCCTTTTAACACAGGAGCTACTAGAATATATTTGAGAACTGGTAGGGGTAATCTAGTAGAAGGAAGATATCTGTGATCTAAGAGGTAGCGGAGAAACTACTAGAAGCCAACTCATGAAAAGGAGTGCTTGGGTTTGGGACTGAAAGGGGAGGAATTACTCATTACAGACAAGGAGGTTACCTCCATTTTTCAGAGGAAGACTGCGCCAAAAATCATGCAGATGCAGAGGGGCTTGGAATTTTGATGAAAAGCACCCTGGGAGCATCTCTTCTGAATTCCATATTTTCAATCAAGTGTAAGATATGCTTCTTAATTTGGAGTCCGGTGGGAAGCGGGGAGGGCAGTTTGAGGATAGTTGAAGAAGAAAGGCACATTCCTAGGGAGATGTTTCTTGGGTCACCAGGCAGCACTGTGTGTGCCTCACGGGTGCAGGGGACCACACGAAACAGCTTGGTCCTAAGTGCAATGCCCCCAGTCCCATTCGTCTCACAGCTTCCTGGCTGTCATAGAAAAAGTAGATGCTTGGGTTCAACAGGACCGGATTGCTGGATAGAAAGGAGAGGGTGTGTGACATTTCATAAAGTGTGCAGGATGAGCAGGAGGGTGCCAAGAGGGAGAGAGGGGAGAAGTGTGGGAGCAGGGATCCCACAGTGGGGTAGTGGGTAACCTAGAGGCCTCAGAGAAAGGGAGAGGGAGGGTAAGGATGTGACCAGTTGTCCTGCTGGTGGTGGGAAGCTGTGGCACCCAGCCATTGGCTGGGAGCCCAGCAGTGGTGGGAAATTCATCAGAGATGATAGGCTCATGTTCCTCAGAAGCAGGAGGTTGCTCAGGATAATGAGCTCTTTTTTTAACTTTTATTATTATTATTATAAAAATATCCTCTTAAGCAGCAAAAGATCTATGCAACCCTTGTATTGCTTATCTGTACTCACTGCTATGGGCAGTCTGCCCCCTGCTTTGCATCTTGAGCTGTTATTTATTTGCTTCTCTGCTAAGCAGTGCCAGCAAGTCTAACGTGAAGTCTACAGGTCGGTAGACTCAGTTTGGGCTAAGGCCCATCTTCTTGTGGCCTACTGGATGCCAAGTCTTGTGTTTTAGAAGTCTCTCAGCACTTGTGATATCAGTATATGTCGCCATTGTATTGATCAGCAGTGCAACACAGAGATTCCATATTTAAGCCAGGGCTTCAGGTTTCTTTACAAGCTATATAGTTTCAAAATTGCTGTACCAATAAAGATAATGACATAATACATTTGATACCAGTTGTCCCCAAATGCTCTGAAAAAACTGAAAAAGTCCTCATTTTCCAGGCATATGAGGAACTGCAGGAGGAACAGGATAAAAACAAAAAACAACACAAAACAAAACAACAAAGCAACAAAGCTGTAGAGCCCAGTCAGGGAACTGGAAGTGTGAGCAGGACTTGGGAAATGACCATAGGAAACCCCTTGTGCTTCCATTCCTGCTCCTTCTCTTTTTTTTCCTTTCTGAACCACTCTTCCACTCCATGTTCCTCAGGCTATTGATTATAACAATTTCTTGATGTAACTTTCATATTAAAACATTTGCATCAGTAAAAATCTGGTATGTAAATTATATAGAGGCAGAGACTTTAACAGTCCCTGGCACAGCGTAGGTAGATACTTAATCAAAAGTTGCTAAAGCCAGGCAATGGTGGGCTCATGCTTATAATCCTAGCTACAAGAGTCTGAGATCTGAGGATTGTGGTTCAAAGCCAGCCATGGCAGGAAAGTCTGTGAGACTCTTATCTCCAATAAACTACTCAGAAAACCAGAAGTGGCGCTGTGGGCTCAAGTGGTAGAGCGCTAGCCTTGAGCTGAAGAGCTGAGGGACAGTGCTCAGGCCCAGAGTTCAAGTCCCAACTGACCAAAAAAAGAAAAAAGAAAAAAAAAAGCCAGCCAGGTAGAAAAATATGTCAGATTCTTATCTCCAATTAACCACCCAAAAGCCAGAAGTGGAGCTGTGGTAAAGCACTAGCCTTGAGAAAAAAAAAGAAGAAAGAAAGAAAAAAAGAAAGAAGGAAGGAAGGAAGGAAGGAGAGAGAGAGAAAGAAAGAAAGAAAGAAAGAAAGAAAGAAAGAAAGAAAGAAAGAAAGAAAGAAAGAAAATAAGAGAAATCCTCAGGAATAATACCCGGGCTCTAGCCCCAGGACTGGCCCAAAAAAGAAAAAAGAAAAAAATGTTGCTGAGAGACTGACTACTCATTGGAGAAAAGTGAAAAATACATATAAGGAACATGAAGATAACATGTTCTGTACAAACAAAATGCCTCCTTTTGATCCTGTCATATAGTTAACTCTCATAGCTTAGTAAATATCCAACTAGACACATAAATGTGTGTCTATATAAAGGTTATATAATGTCTGGGAACAAAAAGCACCAAGTTAAGGTGGAGAAGAAGACAGGTTATGGTTGAGTAAAAAGATTCGGTTTTAACTGTACTGGCAATAAGTGATTTCCTGAAGAAATAAGGCAATTTGGTTTCCTTTTAGTGCTTGTACATGATCTTGTACGTGCTAGGCAAGCTCTGTACTGCTGAGTTACTTCCCTGACTGTAATGATTTCTTTCTGACACTGGATTGTGACACATGGGTATTTACTATATTAATTGTCCTTTTTTCTGTATCTGAATTATTATTTATTATATTAAAAACCTGAAAAAGATTTTTAAAAATCTGAGATTAGATAATTATTTGAAAAATATTTCTAGATTTAAATCGTGTACAACATACATGTTTATTTTTAATAAAACTGCATATGCATACTTATTAATTTTCAATCTTTGTTTTTCTCACTTAAAATTACTTTGCATTTCTCTATGTCAGTAATATACCTCTATACATCATATCATTTGCATTTCAGAGAATTATACCCTTTAAAAAATAAATGGGACAGCACAGAATTACAATGTAATTCTCTACTTAGGGACATTTATTCTGTAAGTAATTTTGAGTGCCTGTGCGTGGGGAGCATTTGGATTGTTATCACTTTTTCATATTTGTTACAAAAGGAAGCCTTTACTATGAATTAGGATCAAAGGGTTAGATTTTTCTCTCAGTAAGAGTGAAGTATGGGGAAATGGCATTGAATAATGTGTGTGGAGCACGTAAGTATTTAAGCAAGCAAGAGTCTTTATCTTCTTCCAACCTCTGTTATGAAGGTGAATGTTAATTTCTCTATAGCCTGACATTCATGGGTCCAAGGCTGCTGGCACAGCCTGCTGGCAGAGGTATCTCCTTTACCAGGGTGGCCTGATGCTTAGCCTAATATGCTTGGACTACTGCTAAACACAATTGCCATATTTCCCCCACTTGCTTTGTATTTAACTCCTGTAAAATACTATTTCCCACGGAGAAAGGAGAAAGAACATCTGAGCTCAAACAAACTGTTCATGTGCAAAGTGAAATCCTTTGGGCTAAATTAACTTGAGTTTTTACTCAACAACTGACTTGATTGTTCTCCCCAACAATCGGACTGAATTTACTGACCAATGGAGCCAGTTGGTTTGAGGAGATGACCCATGTGGAAGCAATAACTAGCCCAGCTGGTAAAATCATATTCTACCCCCAGCATAGCTATAGACTACATGCAAAATAAGAGCACGGGATGTTGTGTCCGTAAGTTGAGGGTATCTGTGAAAAGGCCTTTCTTAGTGTAGGATAAATATTACTACAATGTTTGTGAATTTACTGTGGTGGTTGTATTTTTTTAGGAATGGCGTATGCTCTCCTAGCTGCAGTTCCTGTTGGATACGGTCTCTATTCTGCTTTTTTTCCTATCCTGACTTACTTTATCTTTGGAACATCAAGGCACATCTCTGTTGGTAATTATAAGCATGCTTTCAATTATATTTGCTCATATTTAAAATGTTTCATATTTAGCCTGGGGCCGGTGGCTCACACCTGTAATCCTAGCTACTCAAGAGACTGAGATCTGGGGATTGTGGTTCAAAGTCAGTGGTGGCAGGAAAGTTCATGAGACTCTTATCTTCAATTAACAGTCCCCCACCCCCAGAGAAAACTGGAAGTGGAGCTATGGCTCAAGTGGAAGAGCACTAGCCTTGAATAAAAAACTCACAACCAGCACCCAGGCCCCTGAGTTCAAGCCCCAGAACTGCCCTTGCCCCCAAGTTTTACAGTTAAATGTGCACGAGACTGCTGTATCTTTGTTGATGTTTTCCAGGAATCAGCCTTTTGTGCTTTGTCTACTTTTCCTATGCAATGTCATCACTTAGGTTTATTTATAACTTCTTTTTTTTCATGACAGTGATAAAATGAAAGATTGAAAATTAAAACCCACCTTTAGATCTTAGCATGATTTGATTTTTAAATTTGACTGCATGTTTAAAAGTTTTCTCATGAATGAGGTGAATATGGTCAAAATACTTTATGTACATGTATAGAGCTGTTGAGAGTGGTTTCAGAAGGGGAAGAGAGGTTGCTGGAGGCGTGAGTCTGATCAGGGTGCACTCTATGCATACATGGACAGGTGAAATGAAATTCCCTTGTACACCTAATTGATGTTCATAAAAATGTTTTTAAAAATCACTTTAAGCCCCCAAATATAAAATGACAGAAAAATTTTCACAAGATCTTTGAAACCATTTATTTGGCTTGCATTTATTAACCTTGCATTTACTACATTATGTTAATCCAATACATTTTCATCATTTCATTAAAGAGTATCCTGGGCTGGGAAGGTGGCTCAGTGGTAGAGCACTTGCCTTGCATGCATGAGGCCCTGGGTTCGATTCCTCAGCACCACATAAGCAAAAAGAAAAAAGCTGGAAGTGGCGCTGTGGCTCAGGTGGTAGAATGCTAGCCTTGAGCTGAAGAGCTGAGGGACAGCGCCCAGGCCCAGAGTTCAGGTCCCACGACCAGACCCCCCCCCAAAAAAAAAGAGTATCCTTAACTGCGGTCACTAGTATTTGGTCAAAACAATTTAGAAACCAAACTTGGGTTCATCATAGATTTTCCTGTCATTCCTAAAATTTAGATTCACTTTTCCTACAGTGTCATAGGATATGAATATTTTTGTTCTATTTGGTGTCACTCTCATGTTTTTAATAGAGGTAATTTTGCTCCTACATGCATCTACCTGATGATTGTCTAGAAACAAATGGCAACCATGTACCTGCCTCCTCTCCCCATGCAGCCCAGTTCCCAGCCCACCTGTGCTTAGCTGTATTTCTTCCAATTAGTAGTTCACTGCTTCATCTGGAGATGGAGGTCAGGAGGAGGTTATTGACTGAAAGAACTTCTTTACCTTAGAGTATCAATCAGTATCCAACATTTCACTAGGCAAGGGACCTAGATTTGATGTTCTCCACATTTAGACATTTAAGTTTCATATTAAGTCTTCCCAACCATAAAGCCTTTCATTATCAAAGGATAGGCTCATCATTATCATCATCATCACCATCATCATCATCAGTAAAAATATATGTAGTGATTACAGCAGTTTCTGGAATAAATCAGGACCTTTCAAAACATGCATTTGATACACATTTTTTTGTCTTGTAAAGACAAAAAGAGAAACTATCCATGACCTTGAAATCAAAGTCCTGTGATATTCAGTGGTACCTAGATTCAGAGATAGAGATATTAGACATTAGATATCGTAGAAGATGAGATTATATGGAAAAATTAGAAGGAGCAAATAGAGATTCAAGTTATATGTCACCTCTGCCAGGAAACTTCTCTGACAATTCTGATGCCCACCTCCACATACATAGGAAAATTTCCCACAGAATAGGTTGGACCCCTTCTTATGTATTCACAAAGCATTCTGGATCCTATATTATAATCACACATCTACTCATCTCCCAAGGCCATTTTGAATGCCCCGGGACATCTGATTTTCAGGTTTATGAGTGAACAAAAAAATATTTTCCACTGAGCACCAGTGACTTATGCCTGTAATCCTAGCCCCTGAAAAGACTGAGAACTGAGAACCCCAGTTTGAAGACAAGTCAGGCAGGAAAGTTTGTGAGACTTTTTATCTCCACTAAGCTACCAAAAAAGTTAGATATGGAGCTGTGGCTCAAGTGGTAGAGCCCTAACCTTGAGCAAAAGAAGCTCAGAGACAGTGCTCAGACCCTGCCAGGACCAGCACAAGAAAGTTGAATATATATATATATATATGTAAAGACAAAAAGAGAAACTATCCATGACCTTGAAATCAAAGTCCTGTGATATATATATATACAGATATATATACATATATCTGTGTATATATACATATATATCTGTGTATATATATTTCTCATCAGAGCTATTTCACATTTTTCTAATCCTGCAGGCATGTTGAGAAGTCTAAATATTTGTGATGAGTAATTGATTCATTGACAGAGTCTTTTTTCTTCCCCCAGGCCCTTTCCCTGTGGTCAGTTTAATGGTGGGCTCTGTGGTTCTGAGTATGGCCCCTGACGAGCGCTTTCATGTGCAAAGCAGCAATGGAAGTATATTGAACAGTACTGTGCTGGACACTGCAGCCAGAGATGCAGAAAGAGTGCTGATTGCTAGCACCCTTACTCTTCTGGTTGGGATCATACAGGTAACAGACTTATATAAAATATAGGTGCATGTAGCTAGGTGCCTGTGGCTCACGCCTGTAATCCTAGCTAGTCAGGAGATCTGATCCTGAGATCTGAGGATCACAGCTTGGGGCCAGCCTGGGCAAGAAAGTTCACAGGACTCTTCCCTCCAGTTAACCCCGCCCCACCCACCAAAAAATGTCTTTAAGTGGAGCTGTGGCTTAAGTGGTAGAGCACCAGCCCTTGGCCTTGAGCACAAAAGGTCAGGGACAGCACTCAGGCCCAGAGTTCTAGCCACAGGACAGGCACTAGGTAAGTAAGTAGGTAGGTAGGTAGATAGATAGATAGATAGATAGATAGATAGATAGATAGATAGATAGATAGATAGATAGATAGATCGAGATATACACACTTACATTTATACACACATATCTATATCTATCTATCTATCGATCTATGAGTGTGACTCTTATTTGAAATCATTTAAAAACGTGCACTTAGAGATTTATCTGAATGCAAAACAAAGTAATTTTCTAGAGCCTGAAGTTATTTTCTAAACTATATTGTTTAAGGTAAGATGATAAAAATAGACTTCAGGATTTCACTTATTAAGGCATACTTATGGTCAGAGTCAGAGACGGGAAAAGAAGAGCAGAAGAACATGCATGTGTGAGTTGCAAATGAGAGGAGGGAGGGGTGCAAGAATCCTAGGGGAGGTAAAATATTCCATTGTAGAGTTATGGGGCCTGAAAGTCACAGAAATAAGCAACATGGGTTCTGCTTATCTTAGAATGTATGCAGAACTAGTTTAAAACATATATTGGCTTAGAGTTTTAAGGTGGTAGAGGGAAGGGGAGACAGAGTCCATAAAGAAATCCAGGTTTGTTTCTTCTACGTGTTTTTGTGCCAGAGGCGGGCTACTGTTTTAACTAGTCTTAAGCTGAATTTGTTTCTATTTCGACAGTTGTTTTTTGTCATAGACAAACAGGTCTTTTTTCTTGTTCTTCTCACCCTAGCTGATATTTGGAGGCCTGCAGATTGGATTCATAGTGAGGTATTTGGCAGACCCTTTGGTTGGGGGATTCACAACAGCTGCTGCTTTTCAAGTGCTGGTCTCACAACTGAAAATTGTGCTCAACGTTTCAACCAAAAACTATAATGGCGTCCTCTCCATTATCTATGTGAGTGCTGCTTGTGCACAGGAAACGGGTCTCTCTACATGCAACTTGAGCCTGGGGAATTGGTGTTTCACTCTGCAGAGTGAAACATCAGATTTGTGGAGCTAGTCTTCTCCCAAAGGTGCCCAAGAATCAGGAATAACACAAAGAAGGCAGAATTGACAAATCATTGTTCTTAGCTGTTTTTGGAAAGGTTACCACTGTTAAAAACCATTTATAGGAAAAAGTAGTGTGATGAAGTACAGGCAGCTCTGAGATGCACTGAATTTGAGTTTTGATCTCAGGTTTGCTTTTGACAAGCTAAATGATATTAAATACATCTTGAAGTTTAATCAGTGAAAGTTCACACTTAGAAGTGGATTCAAATTCAAATTCTGGATTCAAATTCTGACCCTACTTCTTTTTTTTTTGGGGGGGGGGGGTCCGGTCATAGGGCTTGAAACTCTGGGCCTGGGCACTGTCCCTCAGCTCTTCAGCTCAAGGCTAGCGCTCTACCACTTGAGCCACAGCGCCACTTCCAGCTTTTTTCTTTTTTGCTTATGTGGTGCTGAGGAATAGAACCCAGGGCCTCATGCATGCAAGGCAAGCGCTCTACCACTGAGCCACCTTCCCAGCCCCTCTTTTTCTTTTTTTTCTGACCCTACTTCTTATTAGTCATGTGAGAAAATCACCATGCCTCAGTTTCCTTCATACAGAGGAGTGTAAATAGTATCAAATAAAAATAATTGAGGAGTACGTGTTCTAGAGCTTGGCATATAGCATGTGGTAAAATAGTCATTATGTTGAAAGTCAAGCATGGTGGTATGTGCCCTCTTCTACATTTGTGAGGCTAAAGCAGGAAGATGAGTTGGAGCCAGCCTGGGCTACAGAGTGAGACTTCGTCTAAATTGCAATAACAGCAAGAAGAAACTTATTATTTTCAAATTCTTATTTCAAGTCTGCTTTTCCTTTTCTTTAAAATGAAATGATTGGAGACATGTCTCTGGAGCCCTTTCTAATTATGAGAGACCATAAAATGCAGAAGGTAAATGTCCCAGTGATTATAAATGAAAAGGAACATTAGATACAGAGATGATTCAACATGTAAAAGATGCAAAAGAAGGCTAGAGATTACTCTAATTAGATTTGAAGACATTCTTGGATCTAAATATATGTTCTATATAAAGCCTGTGGCTGAGACTTGGAGAAGGGTGATAATAAGTAACATGATGTCACTCCAGCTTGGAGAAATAAAGCTGTGCAAAAATAATGTGCCAACATTTTCCTACCAGAGACCATACCTACTAGACAACACTAGCCGAGGCTGTTTTTAATTCGACATGATTTTGGCCATTCTCGCTATTTTTCCCTGACAAATTATCACTTCTTTTTGAGGCCTTTAGATTTTAATAAGCTCTGCCATTTATCTACTGTCTGATATACCTTGCTTTCACAGTCTCCATCAGACATTCATTTTTTAACTCATTTCCTTCATTTCACCTGTTTAGTAACTATTGACTGAACACTCAGTAAATGCACCAGTTCTGTTCATTCCTAGACAAGCCTACTGACTTGAGACCCATGAGCCTACCTTGGTGAGTGTGCTTGCCTTCTTGTATCAACATTGCTAGGCCTACACCAACTCAACTCACAGGAGGTTAAGGCTAATACTTGACCTTTGCAGAACAGGGCAAAAATAGCTTTTATTGTTGTGAGTGGTAGTATTTGAATCCAGGACCTTATAATTGGTAGATTGGTACTCTACCACTTCAGCCAGTCTCCCAGCCCTTTACTTCTTAATTATTTTTCAGATAGGATCTCATTTCTTTTTTTTTTCTTTTTATTTTGAAGGGGGAGGACATGTTACCAGTCTCAGACAGTAGTTCTCCTACCTGGCATTACAGTGTGTATCACCACACCCAGTATGTTTGTTTGTTTAAGTAATGGGTCTTGATCTTGGATCCTAATGGTTGATAGAGAGGCACTCATTATTATTATTATTATTATTATTATTATTATTTTGTCGGTGGTGGGGCTTGAACTCTGAGCCTGGAGGCTGTCCTTGAGCTCTTCAGTTCAAAGCGAGCACTCTAACACTTGAGTCACTGCAGCACTTCTGGTTTTCTGGTTGTTAATTTGGAGTCTCACAGACTCTTCCTGCCTGGGCTGGCTTTGAAGCATGATCCTCAGATTTCAGCCTCCTGAGTAGCTAGGATTACAGGCATGAGCTACCAGTGCCCAGCTTCTTATTATTTTTAAAAGTAGGGTCTTCCTTTATTCTGGGGTGCATGCCTAGCTGCAATCCACAAATGATAAACTTCCTGTTAGCTAGGGTAACAGACAGACATTATCCAGCTCAGCAATTTGTTGAGAAGGAGTCTCAAGAACTTTATTCTGCCTGGGCCATCCTTGAACTATGGTCCTAACAATCTTAGCCTCACAAGTAGCTAGGGTTACAGATGAGAGCCACTGGTACCCACCCACACTTGGCATATTGTTTGAGGTAGGAGATTTGCTAAAATTTTCCCAGGCTGCCTTTCAGTCTCACCTCCTGGGTAGCTGGGGATTATGGGTGTAAACCATCACATGCAACATGAATGTAGTTATATTTTTCTTTTTGCTGGTCCTGGGGCTTGAACTCAAGGCCTGGACTCTGTCCCTGAGCCTCTCTGTGCTCAAGGCTAGAGCTCTACCACTTGAGCCACAGTGCCACTTCCAGCTATTTGGGTGGTTTATTGGAGATAAGAGTCTCACAGACTTTACTGCGTGGGATGGCTTTGAACCGTGATCCTCAGATCTCAGCCTCCTGAATAGCTAGGATTACAGGCCTGAGCCACTGGCACCCAGCTGAATGTTATTTTTTTAACTCTCAAGTTAGCATGTGCCATAGAAATTTTGAATTTGTTGTATGTATGTATGTATATATGTATGTATTTTTGTGCTAGATGTGGGACTTCAACTCAGGGCCTGGGCACTGTCTCTGAGCTCTTGTGATCAAGCCTAGCACTCTACCACTTGAGCTACAGCTCCACTTATGGCTTTTTGAGTGGTTAATTGGAGATAAAAGGCTCAAAGATTTTTCTGCTTCAGCTGGCTTTGAACCATGATCCTCAGATCTTGGCATCCTGAGTATCTAGGATTATTAAGCCAGAAGCATCTACCTCTTACTATTTTCTTAAAGAGAAGTTTTAGGCTCATGAGAAAAACTGAGCAGAACGTATAGGATTTTCCAAAAAAAATTTCCCCACCCCAGCTTTCCCCACCAATAGCATTTGAATGGTTATTTTAACTGGTAGATCATAGAATCTCACGATAAATCAATTCCTCACAGGCCAGCCAATTGCCATGAAGGTATTTCAATTATCCCTATGTTTGGTAAATACAAGATCTGTATTTCTGGAAAGAACGAATGAATAAATCTGGAAACTATTTCATAAGGGTTGGAGGACCCACTGAACAGTTTTGTTTGTGGCATTACAGTTGTAATTGTTTATGAAGGAATTCTCCAGTGAATCAGAATAGTAGTGGATTCTTCCAAGAAAGATTTGTAAGACTGTGATAAAATGCTTTGCCTGAAATGTGCTAGTTAATTTGTTGCAACATTATTTACAACTTACAACAGCATTTTTGTTACTAGGTTGTACTTTTAGTGTATCACACTCCAAAAAGACACTGACAACTGGAAGTATCAGATACAAAGAATGGGAGGAAGAACTGTTAGAACAGTGGGAAAACTTCAATTCACACATAACAGGGTGCTGGGGGTTGGCAGTGATTTAGTAATTTAGCAATTTGTAACACCCTTGCAGATACTCAAGAGTTTAAGATCTTGTGAGCCTCTTGTTTATCTTTTGGGAATTTCTTTTGGGGTTTGAACTCAGGGCCTCACACTTACTAAGCAGGTGTTCTACCAACTTGAGCTAGCCTAATCTTGAGTTTTACTACCAATTACTTTCAATAGTTTATTTTGAAAAACCAAGGAGACCTTGCTTGCTTATGAAATGGTGCTTCTTGGTCTACTTCTTGTCCTCATGTGACAGGAGATGAACTGAAACATTCTGCCCAAAGGTGGGAGTTTTTGAAAGCCAGTTTAGCTCAGTCACACTTGTTCCTTTGAACTTATTTTGACATATGAAATTTACATCATTATAGTAAAGAAGGTAACACTTTAAGGGGCTGTCCATCTATTTTTAAAAAATCTGTAGCAGGAAATGCCACAGAGGTGATTACAAACTGGGAACTAAAATAAATCTATCTCTGAAAGTCAGCTATAATATTGAACATGATTTTTCCCTATAGTTTCATGTAATGCTGGGCAGAAATAATAATCAAAATGAAATGATACTAAAAGTTTCTAGCCATAGTAGAAATTATAATAAACTATAACCCATAACTAAAAAGCTCATGATTATGATTTGAATATGTTTTGGAAACTAGGCTAAAATACAGAATCATATCCATATTATATATATATATATATATATATATATTTGGGTCCGGTTGTGGGGCCTGAACTCTGGGCCTGGGCACTGTCCCTCAGCTCTTCAGCTCAAGGCTAGCACTCTACCACATGAGCTACAGTG